CCCCTCCCCACCCACCGGCAGTCCAGGATCCGGTCCACCATAAAAGCCGGGATCCCTCCGACGAGGCGCAGCGGGGGAACAGGACAAGGAGGGGGAGCCAGGGGACAGGTGGCGACGGGCTAGAGGAGGGACACATGGAATGTGGGATGCACCCGCATGGTGGGGGGAAGTTGCAGAAGGTAGGTCACTGGGTTGACTTGCCGGACCACTCGGAATGGCCCGACGGGACCGCCGCCGCCTCCTCTTGCTCTGCGAATAGGTGGGCTCGGGGATAGGCAGGGGTCGGAGCAGCCCTGCCGCGGGCTGACGGGAGCTCTTCGTGCGTGCGCACACCGGGCAAGCAGACACAAAGGCGTGTGTATCCCCCTCAGCAGATGGCCACCAGAACCTCCGACGCAGGAACTCCAACGTCCTGGCAACCCCCGGATGGCTGGTGAGGTCGGACGCGTGCGCCCACTGAAGCAGTCGCGAGCGCGCAGTCTTGGGTACGTACATCCTCCCCGAAGGGCCTCCGCCCGGATTGGGCTCCCGCCATAGCGCTGCTCTGACCAGCCTATCAATTCCCCACGAAACTGGGACAGCCATCAGGGCATTGGGGACAATGGGGTTGTCCCTCATGGCCAGCGTCTCCGGCCGGGACACGGAAAGCCATCGCCCTCGTGTGGGCCTGGCACCCGGCAGGAGATCGACAGCGCAGTCATAAGGCCTGTGAGGAGGTAGGCCCTTGGCACGCCTCTTACTAAACCCCTCCCCCAGATCCCAATACTCCCGGGGAACGCCTGCCAGGTCTGGGCCGGTGACGGAGTCTGTAGCCGCCGTCCTCCTGGTGGCAACCGCCGCTAGGGCGGTAGGCAGTTCGGAGTGCGGGACCTGGGGAAGAGGTGAGGACTGGTAGGTGGTCTGGGACGGTGGTTTGGGCTGATGAGTGGTCGGTGGCGACCGGAACAGGATGGGGGCGGAGCCTCCCTCCAGGATGAGCCACCCCGTGGACCAGTCTATCCGGGGGTTGTAGGCGACCAGCCAGGTGTGACCCAGGTGCGGTGCAAGATAGACAATAGGCAGAAGGCAAGGATGGTGAAACAAGGATCTTTACTGGTGGTCCAAAAACCAGGACACAAAACAACGGACTATATATGAAAACAAATGAAGAGCACATAGGTCTCCAAAAAACAGGCTGACAACAAACACAATGACACAGGGAGAACACTTCTCGAGTACCTGTAACTCCGTCAAGTGATCCGACACTGATACATACAGCTTGACATCAAGGAACTAGCAGAGAAAACTGAGCAAGGGAACACAGGGAAGTGAGGGCACAGGTGACACCAATAGGCAGATAATTAGTCATGACCGTGAGTGAGAAGGTACCTATGGTTGTCGGAGGATGACACCTAGTGGGTTGCTCCGGAACTGCGACCCACTCCTGTAGCATACTATAGGATATTGTCTGTCTCTAAACAAATTCTATTGGCAAGTTTCTATCAATCTGTCAATATCAATATCCATTTGTCTGAGTCAAATAGTTCCTCAATAAATCCTTAGTAATCTCTCTCTCTATAACACACGCATTCTTTCTCCTCTCTCTCTCTCTCTCTCTCTCTCTCTCTCTCTCTCTCTCTCTCTCTCTCGCTGTTGACAGGGGAGAGTCTGTAATATGTAATGACGGGTGTCTATAACCCCTGACCTCTAACCTCTGACCATAATAACATGTCTCAACACTGACCCTGTTGACAACAACATCTTCTTGTCATTGTTTCCACCTAACAATGATTGGTTTGTCTAGGAAACAATAGAGAAAGAGAGGCTGTAGGGGTGGTGATGTAGAGATAGATATGTTAGAGAGGCTGTAGGGGTGTTGACGTAGAGATAGATAGGTTAGAGAGGCTGTAGGGATGGTGACGTAGAGATAGATAGGTTAGAGAGGCTGTAGGGGTGTTGACGTAGAGATAGATAGGTTAGAGAGGCTGTAGGGGTGTTGACGTAGAGATAGATAGGTTAGAGAGGCTGTAGGGATGTTGACGTAGAGATAGATAGGTTAGAGAGGCTGTAGGGATGGTGACGTAGAGATAGATATGTTAGAGAGGCTGTAGGGGTGGTGATGTAGAGATAGATAGGTTAGAGAGGCTGTAGGGGTGTTGACGTAGAGATAGATAGGTTAGAGAGGCTGTAGGGGTGTTGACGTAGAGATAGATAGGTTAGAGAGGTTGTAGGGGTGTTGACGTAGAGATAGATAGGTTAGAGAGGCTGTAGGGGTGTTGACATAGAGATGGATATGTTAGAGAGGCTGTAGGGGTGGTGATGTAGAGATAGATAGGTTAGAGAGGCTGTAGGGGTGGTGATGTAGAGATAGATAGGTTAGAGAGGCTGTAGGGGTGTTGACGTAGAGATAGATAGGTTAGAGAGGCTGTAGGGGTGTTGACGTAGAGATAGATAGGTTAAAGAGGCTGTAGGGGTGTTGACGTAGAGATAGATAGGTTAGAGAGGCTGTAGGGGTGTTGACGTAGAGATAGATAGGTTAGAGAGGCTGTAGGGGTGTTGACGTAGAGATAGATAGGTTAGAGAGGCTGTAGGGGTGGTGATGTAGAGATAGATAGGTTAGAGAGGCTGTATGGGTGTTGACGTAGAGATAGATAGGTTAGAGAGGCTGTATGGGTGTTGACGTAGAGATAGATATGTTAGAGAGGCTGTAAGGGTGGTAACGTAGAGATAGATATGTTAGAGAGGCTGTAGGGGTGGTGATGTAGAGATAGATAGGTTAGAGAGGCTGTAGGGATGGTGATGTAGAGATAGATAGGTTAGAGAGGCTGTAGGGGTGGTGACGTAGAGATAGATAGGTTAGAGAGGCTGTAGGGATGGTGATGTAGAGATAGATAGGTTAGAGAGGCTGTATGGGTGGTAACGTAGAGATAGATATGTTAGAGAGGCTGTAGGGGTGGTGACGTAGAGATAGATAGGTTAGAGAGGCTGTAGGGGTGGTGACGTAGAGATAGATAGGTTAGAGAGGCTGTAGGGATGGTGACGTAGAGATAGATAGGTTAGAGAGGCTGTAGGGGTGGTGATGTAGAGATATATATGTTAGAGGGGCTGTAGGGGTGGTGATGTAGAGATAGATAGGTTAGAGAGGCTGTATGGGTGGTGACGTA